CCATAGAAGTTTTCAAGGTAAGACTGGATGGTCACCTGGCTGGGGTTGTCTGACCCCAGATGTCTTTCCTGCTCATGCAGGGGACTGGACCTGATGATCTTTCGGGGTCCCTTCCAGCCCTGTGATTTTAATAGCTCACAGTTGTATATATAATAAAAGTATAGTTCTCTGTTAGGCATCCTAATTTATTCTACAGTTTCATTATTATAGCTAAGTGACATTTGAAAAAAGAAAAGCACTAGAAGCACCACAGAAGAAGGTTAAAGTCATAAAAACAAATTAAGAGTTTTAAAAGAAAGGATATTTTGACAGTACAACATTTAAATGGGAAAGTGTTTCTAAAGGCAAGCAGGAGGCCATATGTAGCCATTTAAAAGCTCTCAAAACAACAATGGTTATTTACAGGCAAACAAAATTTGCGTGACTGTCAAGTTTCTTATCGTTCTCACTTTCATAAAGGAAAGTAGCAATTTTTACTTATTGTTAGTAGCACAATTTGAAACTATCCAGTTGTCAACAGCAATTCAAGGAAAGCATGATTATAAAAACTAAAAAACAAAAGGATGACAACAGGAACTCACTTAAGATAGTTCACGGGACACTTTGTATTACAGAAAAACTGATTAAGGAAGTAAGAACTCTTAAACTATACACAAAAAAGTTGTTGAAACAAGGATGGTGGCTGAAAAGTGAAATTAACCAACCATTTTGTTTCTCTGAAGAAACAATCTTGAGAATTCTCACGCTCAGGAGCTGAGACAGCGAATGTGGGAAAATTTTGCTACTTCTAAAACTTGACTCTTGAATACAGTAAAGCCAGACCTTATTCTCAGCTTGTCAGAAAAGCATCCTTTCAAAATTCTGGTCAGTTCTTTAGAAGGAGAAAAAACTTAATTCCCTTTAGGAAAGCCAATTTATGTTGACTAAGAAATCACAAAACACGCTTCAGAGTAGGTTTGTGAAATTCTGTCTATAGGATTTCTTTAGGAAGATGTGTAGGTGTTTTTTCTAGCTTGTCCCCCAACTTCTCAACTCATGTAAACATTAGAAGCTTAGCGTTCTCTACAGTTGCATCATACCTGTTCGGAAGACTGAAATGACTTCCTTTTCCTCTCCGTTACATAAAGCTCTCTCTCCTCCTCTCCCTTTGCAATCCGGTACTCCTCTTGTTTTCTACAAGAAATTTATGAAAAATTGTCAAAACAGAAATAGGATTCTAACCTCCCAAACATACTGAGTAGTCACGGGGACAGAGATTAAAAGAAAGCTACTTAGACATTAAGACGTTAATTTTAAAAGGCTTCTATTGAAATTGACACACCACCTGTTCAAATGGTTTTTTCTTGAAAAGACTACAAAAAGAAGTGTAAGTAGTTCTGTGGTTTCAAATATTTAAGGCTATTTTTGCAGTTTCTCTGAAGTGAATTAAAGAAATAAAAAACTGCCACATAGTTCTTGAGGAACCAGAAAAATCTTACCATTTAGTTCCATTTAATTAGGGGTGTGAAAGGTTAAACAATTGTTGAACCTACAAGTGCAGTGATAACCCCCTTAGCTAACCACAAGTAGCTTAATGACTTATCATTTAAGCAATTAGCTCCTCATTCACAGGTGCTCACTCCCTCTCAGCAGGGCTTCAAACTGGCTGTGTTGTCTGGTGGGCTTGCCTCCTCCCCCACAGCCGGGCAATCAAAAGGCTCCAGGAACCAGAACAGTTCCCAGCAGCAGCTGTGTCCAAGCTGCTGCATTATTATTAGTTAATTGTTTAATCAATGTAATTAGAAGAGGTTAAATAAAAGTTTTTAAACAATATTTACAACTCTATATCTAACTGGCACAGATGCCAGCCAGTTCTTGCATTGTCCCAATGGAAGACAGAGGGGCAAGATAAAGGGATATAATTTACAGCAAGTCTTTTTTTATGGTCAACATATTTCCGCATTGGATCTCTCAAAATTATTGCGCTTACATACCACAAAAACTTTCCCCAAAAATCAGCATTTCAACATTGGGGTTCATATCTTAAGCAGAGAAACTGGTTTTCTATGCTGGAACGGATGCATGCTTCACTCCTTGCTGGCTCCACGGAGAAAAAAGCAGAGCATATTTTTTAGGTTAGCAAAAGTTAGTTATACCTCTCATAGCTACTGCTGAATTGGCAGTGGCTATGGGAAGGTTAAAACTGTAGCTTCTGCTAATGCTGAAAAGCCTTCTCTGCCCCTACAGTCAACCATGACTCTGGAAGTCTTCCCTCCACTTCATTCTGCCTTCCCAAAAGGTGAGCATCTCATTTGGGGGTATGTGGTACATGAGAAAATATGGTGACATTTAATAACTTCATTTTGCACAACAATATTTTTAATGTAAGCCTACCATCACTGGAGTTTAGGAAGAACACCAAGATGCTACAGTAGTAGTCATTTCTACAGCAACCTCCATATATTAGCCAACTAGATTTCCACATACCTGAATAAGCTCAGCAGTATTTCTGGTACAACTACTCTTCGTTTCCAAGCTTGAAGGTCTCGTTCCGTAGCAATTTGACTCCGTGGAGCATTCTGATGCATCTGACGCACTCCTTCAACTTGTCCACTGCGACGCAAACCAATGTTGGGAGGGGACTGAATGTCTAAACTTGGTCTTCTAAAAGCTAAAAATACAGAGGAGGAAAAATAAGTCTTTTACCAGAGAAAACTGATGACCAATGTCTGACTTTCTCAGGTATGAAAGAGAAATCAACTCTTCCCTACAAAGGCAGATATACACTTTCTATAGTGATAAATAGATTAGGATTCCAAGCCGTTTTAAAAAATGGTTATCATTACTACTAATACTTTCAAACAGAAGTGAAAGCATGCATAAGATAGACGGTATTTTTCTGAGCTTTTCCTGCTGATTCCGCACAAGCTGGATAGCACTTCTTGCTCCCCCACCACGCTTATGCTTATGTAAGCAAAGGTGTGTGCATACTGGCCAATAATGTTCATTTTAAATCTACTACAAATCCATACAGTGAAGGGAGAAGAAACTATTATTTGAATTAAAAATTAAACGCACTTTATTTTTGTAAACTTTGGGAAAATGCAAGCGAGTTTCAAGAACTGATTTTAAATGTTTGTACAGCCTTAAAAATTTAAGCGATCTATAATAAAATTGCTCTTAACCAACCTGTATTGTAAAAATGTAAAAAAGTTATGTTCCAATTCACAGAAATATTTTAGCCCAAGAACTTAACTAGAAAACTGGCTAGGTACCACGTAGACTATTTCAGGTTAAAAAGTAGATACCAATAGGTACTAACCTCTTCTAGGTGTTCCTTCCCCATTCTGTGGTCCACTTGGAGCTGCTTCTTGATCTGCTCCTGTTCTTTGGTCTTGTTGTTGCTGTAACTGTCTTATCATGCCATCAAGAATGCTGGGCTCCAAGCCTTGATCATCCTGATCAAGAGTCTGCTGGCCTATAACTTGTTCCACCACCTCTCCATCACCTTGAAAATGTAATGAACACCAGAAGCAAAACAAACCTGCATGTTTAATCAACACACTAAAATCCAAACCTGCTACCTGCATCTTGAGCAAGGGATTACTTTGAAATAGTATTTAATATGTTCTTTTAACTTCTTGACCAATTGTTCCAGGAAAAATGTAAGCATGCTGTGGCTGTATATCTATGAAGAACCAGTCATCAACTAAAAGACGCATGAATAAAAGGGACAAAACACATAAATAGAATTCACACTTTTTCAAAATTCAGCTTCACCACTTCTACTAGTTGCTAAAGCAATTTAAGCCATACATGCCAGGTGTGTTGAGCAATCAGAAAACTGCCTGAGGTGTAGAGGATTGTTGGTTGTAGCTGTGTTGGTACAAGGACTTAAGCAGACAATCTTTTATTAGACCAACTAAATAGTTGGTCTAATAAAAGATAGCATGTCAACCAAAGAACCTTGTCTGCCTGAGGTGTACAGTAATTCTTCTATCCTATCTCAACCACTGTTTAAATGTGTTAATAGGAGCCTCAGACTAACTGGGTCTTCTCAATTTTTGGGCTGCTGCAGGAGACACAGCACTCCAAGCACCCTTACCAGTTATAAAATACGGTGCACACAGTCAAAAAGAAGCAGAACAGGTATGAGTAAATGCAACCAGTATTAATAAGGTTATATATAAAAGGTGAAAGCAGGCTGTTTCTGAAGGAAGTTTCTGAAGGGCTTAAGTAGTGCTTTTCATACTGATCCAAGGGATATGGAAAAATGACTAGTGCCATTTGCACAAATTTCAATAGCTACATGTCCTACTCATTGGCATTGGCTTAAACTACTTTATTATAATATGCACTACACAATCTTTGTAAGCCTGCAACTAGAAGGTGAAACTACAGCAAACAGCTCTTCAAACAACACTGCATACAATAAGTTATTTGTGACAAGCATAAGACACTTCGAGCTGTGCTAAAAATTCGACTAAATAAAATATTCAATATTCCACATTTAACTTAAAAATATTGTAGCTAGCTGATTATCCAGAAAGCCAATTATCTGGAAAGCTTTTTATTAATGTGATCATTAGCCCACAGTTGGGTTTTGTTTGCTGGTGACAACTAGACATTATTTACTAGCGCTTTGAGATTTTAACACATTACAAACTATGTTTATTTATTGTTGGTTGTAATATTTGCTGTAGCATACAATAATTATAGTATTGAACACTTCATACCGTGGTGATTATCCAGACTGATGGCAACACATCTGTATTATCAACCTTCTACTGCATTTTAGTTTTTCTATTCAAAACCATAGTAATGATACTAAAGACTAGTCAGAGCTAGATTCATAAGTTAAAACTGTTATTCTTACTTGTTGCTACATATCCCAGTTGAGGAATCAAATGCTCATCAGCACAGTTCTCCCTTCCAGGTACCAATCTCTGGTATTTTGTTGGGTGAGGGTTTCCATCCACATCTACTAAGAATGGAGGGGGCATGAGATGAGGAGCCTGTTGAGTCTGCTCATCTAGGACATAATTGTTAGAGTCTCGAATCAGTGGTCGGTAGTCAGTGTGGAAGAACATCTGATCAGGAATCTAGAAAGAAATGAAGCTTGTATGTTGTCAACTTGAAAAAAATGCTAAAGAATTTGAATGTAGAGGCAAATTATGCTAAGCATTAACCTCAAATTACTCAAAAAGTATATGAGGGAGTTCTCACAAGGAAAAAGAACAAAGCTACTAGCACAAGTCACTTTGGATTTGTGATATATTCTTGGTATACTCTTCATAGAAGGAACTGCTGGCAAGCAATTACATGTATTCAGTACATACTTTGGGAAAGAGATACAGGATGCAATATCTCTGTGCAAGTTAAAATTGCCATACTAAAAGGAAAGCATCTAAAAAGCCAAAGTTCCACATCTCCATTAATTTATTATAAATAATTTTCAGAAAAATGTTGCTGTTTCCAGTGTAAAAAGGACAGTTAAGTGCTGAAACAAGTTAAGCTAAGTTACTTCTTGATCACGATTTTTTTCCATTAAAAATAAAAGGCTCTGCAAGTCAAACTAAATTACATGCATGCAACTTTTTAAATAAGTGTAACTGCTTAGTTGTCTACAAAAACGTAGAACCTTTGCTCCTGACTAACAGGCAAGAAAATAACTAGTTTCACTTCCAGATTTCAGGCTAAGCATATCAGGTTATAAAAACAGTAAAAACCCAACAAATAAGCAAACAAACCCTTCAATAAATGATGCGGAACCTTCCTTTGCCATTTTTACAAAAATATTTTTGGTGTAGAATTTTACTTTACAAAAGTTCACAGAAGTTCTTAGGAGAGAATGCTTATGTGCTCCAATATTAAGTACAATCACTACGTGAATTTTAGTAATGCCATTTTAAAAAAAAGCTGCTATCATCATCATCATGATCAACCGAAACAAACTTACCTTCTCATAAGGTTTACTACATCCAAAACCAAATATCAACAAGTGTCCGTGAGAATCTGTACATGCAAAATGCTGTCCATCTGGTGAAAACTTGCAGTCAAAAACAGCACCATGTCCCTGGCCTTCAATCTAGATTGAAGGGGGAGATGAAAAACTCAAAAGCAAGTTTTGTCAGAAGAATATGCACAAAAACAACCCTAACCTCCAAACTACCAAAACAAGCAACACCCGCAGTTTTATCCAAACTTTGATTACCAAAGGCTTATTTAAACAATCATGCTCCAACTACCACATCCTAGTGCAAAAAATTCTTCTGTTATTTCAGTTCATTTTATTTTGCATTTCCCTTGACATGATAATCATTGCCTTGGGTTTGCACCTAGCTCTGCACTGGCAAGCTCTGACACCTGAAGCCAGAAAGTTTTACCCATACAGACCTGATTAAAGATCTGAGCTCCAGAAACACAACCCCTACCATAACGTTCATTTTCCATATTAAGAGAAGAATAAAAATTTCAGGTGTGGACAAAATATACCCTCATCACCCCTGTAAAAGGGGAGGCCATTCAGAAGTGCAAATCAGCTGTTATGAACTATAACACAACCTTGCACAGGCCTGTAAGAGATGCAAGTTAAGTAAATAGTTCTTATCTTTAACCCTGATTCATTCAGAGTTCAAGTTAAGATTGGCAAAATTGTTGTTATTCCTCTACACAACACTTATATCACAATGGCTTACATATCAGTATCCTTTGGTATAGATCATCTTTATTTTGGTCTATATTAATATTCTTCCTAAGACTTTACCATATGTAAATTATTCTCAGTATAAGTAAAAGGAATGCAATATATAGCTTACCAAATTATTTCACATAAGATGATAACAACACTCTTGAAAAGTTGCATCTTGTTAAAGTCAGGAATCTGTAACCAACTATTTACTTAATCATCTAGGCTGCTTACAGACATCAAAGAAAAAAAAGCAGCGCTTTACTTTAAACTCAGCACTTCCGTGCCAAGCCTAGCACATATCCAAGAGGCACTGCATTAGTTGGACTCGACTTGCCAGATGTCTATATAGATCAGGCACTTAAGTGGGGCTTTTTTGGCACTTTTATCTAATAGTTGATTGAATCAGCTATTAGATAAAAGAACCAGAAAGGCCCATTGAAGTGGCCAATCTATACAGACACCGTGGAGTTGGGTCAAATTAATGCGCTGCTTCTTCTGGTAAAGCACGTTTAATAGGGTTTTTTTGGTTTTTAACACTGGTAAGGAGTCCTATAGTATAAGATCTTAATTTTAAAAGGCCTATAGTTACTTCATAGCCTTAAGTAATTTGAGCTACAACTGCTCAAAAAAGCCTGCTTTCTTTAAGAAAAGAAACTGCTATGTTGAAACCAGTGGACAAACATATGACTGCATTCTGAAAATGGAAGATAAAAGTACAATAAATTAAAATTTGTTTGGCCTTACCATGTTAAAATAGTGTTTAGTTTTGCTGCCTTTTGTAATATCCCATATAAAGATGTTACCATCATGGCCTGCAGACAACATAATCCTTGAATCAAAGGGATGGGTCTCCAACACAAATACTTCATCTGTATGTCCCTGTTATTCAAAAGTGATTATTCACACTGCATATTCATACACAGAAGTACCTATACTTTCACAAGTTAATAACTGGCACCCTACTAAGCATGAATAGAGTACTCAAATCTTGCTTCATCTCCCTAAACTCAGTCTATTAGGGGACCTCCCAAGCCCTCATGACCATCACTGGAAATGAGATCTTATGATACCATAATCCTGCATGGCTGGAGTGTGGAGATCGGGAACCTGTGCCACAGAAGTGACAAACAGTCTAGATAGTAAAAATGTCCAGCGAACCAAAAAAGATTGTACTATTTTTGGAAAACAAAACATCTAGCTCAGGGTTGTTACACATACTGCCAGCTGAATCTGGTCCACAAACTTTTCCCCCAGTTCTGGCTGCGATAAGCAACCTTCACACAGTGGCAGTCATGTCATGTGCCTAGGCAAGACTAGAGAAGGCACTGAAGCCCCAGCAACACCACAGCTTGTCACTGAAGTGACAGCCAAGCACACACCTGGGCAAGAGCTACAGCACTGGAGACCTAGCAGCAGCACTGTGGGAAGAAGCCGGAGGTTACAGGGACTTGGCTGTCACCACAGGAAGCAGCTGTAGTGAAGCTCTTGCCCAGGTGGTTGACTGTAGCTTCAGGGAAAAAAAAAGTTACAGCAAAGCTGCTGGAGTTCTCACCAGCCTGGCCCAGGCAGTACTGCAGGAAGCAGCCCAGCACTATGGCTCATTCTCAGTAACAGCCAAGCACCCAGGAAATAAGCCTCTTCCTGATAGGTCCATACTGTCCAGACTAGACAGTGCATGCAGTAGATCTGGCATGGCGGGGGGCGGGGGAATAGGGTGAATATCTGTGGGCTCAATCTGGCTTTGCACCACTCATCAGGCCCACGGGGCCAGACAGATTTGACACACTGATCTAGATTCAGGAAGTAGTGTTGAAAAAGAAACAAAAAACAATCCCCCTCCCCATGGAATTTGATGCACCTTCTGAAAATGACCATGAAGAGCACCAAACTGGGAAGCATGGTTATCAAGAAAAAAAGCCTCAAGCTTTTCCATATTTCACCAGAAAGACGAGTCTAATGTTGCTTCCATACCTAGGCAGGGTTTTGGTTTTTATGTTTTTGTTTTGAGTTTTTTTGGGCTGGGGCAGGGGGGAGGCATAATTAACTTTCAGACAAATCAGGCTTAAGTGACCCTTTCAGCAGGCAAATATCACTAGAACTTTAAAAAAAGAAAAGCAAGTAAGATAAGTACATACCACTAAATCATGAAGCAGCTGCCCAGTATAAGAATTCCAAACTTTGAGTAGGTGATTATTCACAGCAGTAACAACAAAGTCATCATTTTGATTCCAAGCTATCATTGTCACTTTGGGCTTCATAAATTTATCTTCCTCTGAACATGAATCATTGCTTTAAAAAAAAAAATTAAAAAAAAATTGTATCATTAAAATTAAGCATTTGTTTCAACGTCCAAACACAAAAATTAAACTGTCTTCCAATGCTAAGAACCTGAAAAAAACTGAATTAAAGATTAATATTCAGACTTACTTTGCTCACTAAAATTTGGTATTTCCATAGCGCTGTGAACAAAATTGAGAACAGCTTAAATCTTAAGTATTAACCAACCAAAAAAGAGAATCATGAAACTATAGTGTATAACTGTGTATATACAATTTTAAAGGAAAACCGTTTTAAGTTTAAAATATTAGTGAGCATGTTAAAGAACTGATAAACAACAGACTACATCATGATCATGGTCAGATGTCTGGCTTTTTTTGCTACTTTAATAGGCCAGCTATATGAAAATGACACAAAAGAATTCTAATACAATAATGACTACTATTTTTACCTGAATCTAAGATGACCTTGAATTTAAGACAACCCCCATCACTAGACTCTGGACACGCCAAATTATAAATTGGTTATAAATTAAATAAGTTTAGAACCTATGTATTGGGGAGATTCATCTTAAATTTGCCCTCCCCACCCTCTTATGGCCATGGCAGTAAAAAGCAGCAGGAGTGCAGGCAACGGGGAAAGCAAAGCAGAGGGAACAGGCAAGGAAGAAAGCCCCTTCACCGCTTGCCTCCTCCTTCTGCTGCTTTACCTGTGGATCCAAGCACAGGTAGAACCCCCAAGCCATTCCTCCCCCTTGTTGCAGAGAGCAGCTGTGCTGGGAGCCCAGCTCAGCAGGCACAGATTCCTCCTTTCCTGCCCTGCTCCCTTCCCTCCTCCCCTGCTGCTCTGCTTACGCTTGGGCTAGCAGGTGAGACTGGAGGAAGGAGCAGAGCAAGGCAGGGATAGAGGAATCTGCAAACTGCAAGCTGGGCTCCAGACACAGCTGCTTCCTGCAGGCTGAAGCAGGAATAGCTCTGGACTTCCCCCATGTCTGCCACAGTTGAGTCCTACTGCTCTATTTGCATACTGTGGGGAGCAGTCATGCAGGGAACTCTAACCAGCTGGAGACCGCAGCAGCAGCATGCCGATTCCCTGCTGCCGATTCCGTGCCAGAAAGGGAGAAAAGGGGAGGGGAGCTGGGCAGGGAGCAAAGCTGGAAGCAGGAATCTGCATGCTGCTGTTGTTGTCCTTGCCTCAGCTGGGATCCTGCACAGCTTTTCTTCACAACTCCCAAGGGGAGCAGAGAGATACTCTGTTCTAAGATGAGGCTTTGTTTTCATGATGAATGTGGAGGAAAAGCCTCATCCTGGAATCAAGTGATTAAATCTCTTAAGAATCAAGGCTAGCTAGATCATCAGTTCTTAGGCATCTATTGGCTGACATAGGCTTTTAAGTTTACACTGCTGTCATGTACCCCTACCATTCTATGCTATGGATGATAATTACAAAAATAGGTAACTAACACTGTATCACTACAATCACACTATTGTAGCTGCCACTGATCACCCCAGTCTGAATCCAGTAAGGGCAGGGTAAGTTTGATATCTCTGTTCTAAAGCTGGCAAACACCCCCAGAGGTACAAGTATCCTAATTTGACAAATACTGAACTAGTAACATAACCAAGAGCCCTGGGGAAGTGGAAGTCTCAACCTTCCCTAAAATGTGATCCCAAAAAAAAGGAAAAATGAAGTACAAAAGCAGAACATCGCTGAACTCACTCAGGTGCTCCTTACTTCAGTCTGCACATGTAAATATCTAGAGACTTGAGGTGGTTAAGGGGGATAAAGGCTAAAATGAAGCAACTTAAATCTGCTGCATTTACATTTTTTTGAGGACAGAAAAACTGATAAAGATTTTTTTAATGCATTTCATCAGCAACGAAGTCTCATTTGTACTCCAACTCAAATTAAAAATGGACTTAAGATTCAGGATTTCCACACTGAAACTCTGGGAGCTGTTTTTAATGCAAAAATTGCTGGGTGAAAACTAATTAGAATATTTGTAACAAAAGGTTAAATGTCTGTGTTCTTTAAGGCAAATCTTATTAGTCAATATTAAAATGTCTGGTAGGAGTAGTCTTTACACATTACAGGAAAGGTATCAGATGCTGAGGTTTCAGTGAATAAGTACTGTTTTCCATATAACTGATTTATGTCTTCAGAAGAAGAAGAAAAAAAGTTCTCTCCATTTGTCTAATGATAATATAAATAAGCATTTTTACATTAATAGATGCAGAAATGAAATTAATCACGTAACATGTCTTTGGAATGTCACATAACTCCCTCATAAAAAGGGTACATCGCTTCAAGATGTTCTCATTAGAGCTGTTTCAACTCCATTCTAAGCAGACATGTCAATTTTTTCAAATTAATAGGAGAAATTTAACCTACCCTGGTAATTTATCAGCCATATCCAATAAAATGCTCCTCCATTCTGTTTGCTGAAAGCGCCAGATGCGTGCTGTTCCATCTCTGCTGCCACTTATGAACCTTGGAGTAATTTTAAAAGACATTATCTATTAAGATATTCACAGTATTTTTACTGAAAAGCACAACCATTCAGAGCTCTGCGCCTAAATGCATAGTTAATTAAAAAATATACAACACTGAATGACAATCAAATTATGAAATCCTTCTAGTCTGTGCACGAGTACCACCCACTCAGCTCAGCCACCTTTGCCAGAGAAAGCCTAGGGCAAAGAAAGCTTGGTATAGTATGAGCTGAGGGTCACAACCAGGCTTGGAACAGACAAAACAGAGAAGCAAGTTTCTGAGTTAAAGCACTTTTCAGAAAAGGCTCGTCTCAGCTCCCTCCCATTTACATCAGAACGCTCAGCTCAAACTTCTTAATTTAATTTATTCTCATCAGACACTGAAAAGACAGTTTAATATGGCCAGGATGCAATTATTTTCTAACTTTATAGATCAAAAACAGTATTTTAAACTGCACAGGGAAATAAGTTATGACATTTAGATTAAGGAGCGCAGGCAAAAATATACCCTTCATGGAAAGGGTTGCTAAAGAAGATACTGAATTTTTCACTAGATAAGTGAAGTGGTACTAATTAAGCAGCTTCCCCAGGTAGACACGGGCTGTAAAAATTCTACACAAAGTGCCCAGGGACCAGGATTACTGTGGAAAAAGTCAAATTCAAAAGAAAAGCTTCAACCTTGAGGCCAAATGAAGGTTAGGAAAACATTTAATCAGCTACCTGGGCCTCCAGTGACAGGATAAAATAAAATAAATAACTACAAAGTCACAGATGCAGCTTACAGTTCCATCTGCAAATTCACCATGAGAAGTGAAGAACACTTTTAATTCTTTCCTGCTTTCAGTTCCTGATCAAATACCTTGAGAAATCAGAATGGTTCACTAAAGGCATTAGCAAACTAAAGCAGCTGACCAGCCAATGATGCAATGTAAAACAGTTCACTCCAAACAGAATGGTTTCTTAGACTGAAAGCTCTGGTACAGGGACGGCATCTAAGGGCGCGTGAAGATGAACACACATGCGGTATGCGGCACCACAGGCCCATCCACAGCGTTGCAAACCACACACACTGCACAGGTAGGCCTTTGCTGCACTGCTAATTTGCAGTGCAGCAGGTTTTTTTGACACTGGAAGATTCCAGTGTCAAAAAAAAAACACCTGAAAAAAGCAGGGCAACGCATGTGGTGGCAGTGTGCGCCACCCAAAACCAGAACCTGGTCAGCTAGAGACCTACTCTGGCTGCCAGCCAAGCTCAACACACCAGATTCCTGCCACTGGAGCCCCCAGGACTATGTAATGCTGCTGGGGCCTCCCACACCCCACCCAGAGCAACCTGCCATGCACCAGAGCACATGTGCACGAGTGTTCAGCAGGGATAAGCAGCAGTAGCACAACTAGGTACTGCTGCTATTCGTCCCCAGGGAAACGCATGTGCATGCTCATCTGGACATGCCTTAGGTGTCTATACAAAACAAGCTATGTAGGGATCCACATTCTTTGAGGGCCTCCAAGTACTGTGGTAATACAAGTAATAATTTCCCCTAATATATCAGACAAAAAGAGGGGTTTCCCAATGGATGAAAAGCAAGAAGCAAGCACCTAGCAACTGACAGGCAAAAGGTAGGGAGTACTGGATCTGGCATGAAGGGCAAGTGGGAGGTCCATGGACCTGACCTGGCCTGCAGGGCTAACCCAGCACCACTTATCCAAGCTGTAGACCACTCATCTGGCCAACAGGGCCAGATAAGTTTGACACCACTGACTTAAATCTATGGATGTTATCGCTGACTTAATCCTGTTTTTTTTTTTTTTTTTAATGTCAGTGTTGGTTACTTTTCAAAAGTAATACTTTCCCATGAATGAAATTTCAGATAATACAAACAGACACTAACAAAAACCAAAAACACACAACTGAAACTTTAGAACTGCTCTGTTTTATTCCATGCTGTATCATTCCATTTCTAGTTATGTTGGATTTTCTTACTGAAGAATGCCAGATGAGAGCAATTGTAAGTGCTGTAAAGTCAAAACCATTACCCATTTATATTCAGTCTTGGAACATACCTATCACCATTATTAGAAAACTGGATGCTGTCAACTTTGTCCTGTAAAAGAAATTTTAAACAGTATGTTAGAAGTTTGGAAGGGAAGAATTAGTTTTTTCTATGCCCTAAAAGAAATTTAGTTTTTATTAAAGAAATAAAAATAGCCTCCTTTATATACAATGAAGGCAGAGCAGGGCAGCAGGGTAAACAGCCATAACCTATGAAAGCTTATTCCTCTCTGAGTTAGCTGCTAAGATGCCTTCTGACATAACTAACTACCTCTTTCCTTACATATACACAACATAAATGTACAGGCAGTAAAAAAAAAAAAGCACTGTTTATATCACATTGAACTATACCTTTTTCATCAAACTGCACCATATCAGAATGCTACCAGTTTTGCATAGCAAAATTTTTGATCCTAAACTGTAACTGCATGATTAACAGAGCCATTCACAAAGACTTTAAAGAACATTCATGTTTTTCATAAAAATTTATACTACAGTTTTTCAAAGAACGGTGCATTTAAACTCATCACAATATTGTCTAGTAAGTGCACTATGTAAAATGCTGGACTTAACTAGTGAGTAATTTCCCATCAGCAACCTGGCATTTAACGAGTTCAACTTACAGCCAGTTAAAATCTAAAGCAGGAGTGGGCAAAATACAGCTTGCAAGCTAGATCTGGCCCAACAAACGATTTTATCTGGCCTGCAGCTACTCCTGTGAAGGAAAACTGTATCCAGCTAACAGCCACCCTAGCTACTGGTGCCTTTCGCCCCTCTCCCTTCCCCATTCCCATGCCACAGCCAACTGAAACAGCAGCAGACACTCCCCTCACTGGCCCAGCCTGTCTGTCCTGCCCCCCAGGCCCCAGTGTACATTCCAAGACAGGGGGTGCTGAGCTCCTGGTCAGGCTCCTGCCTAGTGAGGCTGTCTGAGCACAGCTCCAACCCTGTGGCCATTTGCAGACCAAACAGCATGGCCCCTAGTGAATCGAAGCTCAGGTAAGGTTCTCGCCACTGGCAGGGGACAGGGTACAGGGGAAAAAGGGCCAGGAGCTGCAGGTTATCAGTGCTCTACCAGACTGGGACCTGGTAGGGGTACAGGCACCACTAAAGTAGTGTCACGTTGTGTTCCCATGTGCCACTTCAGGCTGCCCCACATGGATGCACCTGGAGTGGCTGGTGCAGTTCTTGCCCAACCCAGAGTCCCCAGCACGTGGCCAAGCTGGGCAGGAGCTGCTCCAGCTGCACCCATGTGGCCCAAGGCAGTCCACAGGAACAGTGTGGCACTGGCTGTATGCTAGGGACAGGGTGTAGGGAGAAAGAGAGAACAAAGGTTAGGTTCCCCTAACCCAGCGGTGGGCAATTATTTGGGCCGGAGGGGGCCAGTTAGGGAGTTTTGGTGAGCTGTTGCAGGGGGTGGGGGGTGACCCAGCCCACAACAGCTCACTAAAATTCCCTAAGTAGCCCGCCAGCCCAAGTAATTACCCATCCCTGATCTAGAGGGATCTGTTTCTACAGCAAAATTTTACTTGTGCATTACAGATAGACAGAATATTAACTATTCAATTATCATCAAGGTAAAAACAGCAGTAGAGTAGATAGAGCCCAGAATGACCAGAGGCGTTATCTATTTTTGCCACACTTCATCATACATAGCTAAAATGAAGAACTTGCTGAATAAAGTAAATAAGCTGAAATAGTTGGAAATTGGGACAGAAGGAGTATGAGAAGACTATTTTGAATGCTAATAACTCTTGGAAGGCTTCACAGTTATAAGATAAACTGTGACTGTCATATCCCTGACAACTTCATATGCACTCTGCCCACTAACCCATCACCACAAAGACCCAGTCTTAACATTCCAAACTTCTGAGCAGCCTTAGTCTTAAAAAAAAAAAAACAGGCAAAAGAAGTGCTCTCTCCTTCTCAGCCCAAATATGGAATCTCTCTCACAAACCACATTGGCCAATGGCCCAGCATAAGCACTTCCCTGTTCTACACCAGCACTAAGTTTAAGGTATGCCATCTAGCAATCCAGATTCAGAAACAAGAACTTACTCCCTGAACTTGTAAACACCTCTTACTTTTGAAAGGAGGCAATAAAGCTTTCCAAAATCACAAAGATAGTTACCCTTATTAGCTATGAAACAGAGAAGCTTTTAATATATTCTTTACCTTGTATAGGCCTGTACAGCTAGACTTATGGTGTTAAAAAGAGTTTTACTTCATAGATGAGGGTTATATAAAAGTTTTTAAAAACTACAGAATCTGTTTTCTGAAGGATGTGGTATAGACAATGCACAACAGCTTAATGCAGGGGTGTCATACTCATCTGCCCAGATTGAGGGGAGGGGCATATAAATGGTCTGTGGGCTGGATCAGGCCTACAGTGCTGGAGCCAACACACACGGTCAGCCTAGGGCAGGCACCACATGCAGCTTGGGCCCCGGACTGGCCCTGTGTGCTACTTTCAGCATGTATATTGGCTCTAGCCCCACAGTGCATAGGGCCCAACTGGGGCACGTGGTGCCCCCACTATACCAGCTCTGCACCCTGGCTCTAGAACGTAGGGCTGTGCTACTGACCTGATCCAAACCAGCCCCAGACCCAGTGTAGGCCTGTCCAGCACAGGTACTGCATGCTGTACACACCCCAGAATGGCCCAGTGTGCTACATGCTACACCTGTTGGCTCTAGTGCTCGCATCCAGTCCAGCTCATGCCAGACAGGCTCTGTGCGCCACAGCAGGTCCAGCTCATTCTGCATTCAGTTACACTGTAGGACACATGAATACGGCTCTGCAGGCTCGATCCCTGACAATGTATTAATACTTTATTGTATAACCATGCTAAATTCATATTTTTAATACCTTTGTACTATGCCATTACGTATTACCACTCTACATCCAAAAAAAACTTGCATGGCATGTAAAATAAGAAATGGGAAGTGTAGTTGATAGTCTTTGCTCTCTAATGCTATTAATTTTTCCTTATTATGAATCTAACAGAAGAGAAAGAATTATGGGCCTCATAGCTGATGAGAAACAGAGACAAGGGCAAAGTTACCAGTTATAAGAATCAAAGGGGAGAGACTCAAAAAAAAAGAAATCTTGTTATGGGCGAGGATCCAAGAGGCCCAATTTTCATTTATACTAAGTCCTCACTATACCGTTCTGAAAATTTTAAATATAATTTCCACTACTTCAAAAACTTCTGCATTTCCAGGGTTATACAGAGCACAAACAGAAAAAGGATTTTTTTCTTTTAAAGCAAGGAACAATAGAACAAGGCACAACAAAAGCTAAAGAAGAAAACATTTAGGGTATAGACAAACATATGTTTTAGCCTCTTAAATGGGGAAGACGACCTGCTGTTTGGAAACATGAATAAAGTGTTATGACCTAAACGGAATATCTGCATGAGCCTTGTAAAATATGGCAATATAGCTCAATGGCCATGAAACCAATCCTGGATGAAGCAGGGTTAAAAGCTGAATCAGTTTGCTATGCTTGTGTAACTAAAAGGTCATGCAGACACACAACTCTACTCTAAAAGCTTGTATTGGTATTCTTTAATAGTTGTACAGGTGTTAACTTCTGGCTAATATTTAGACAAATGTAACAGCAAGATCAGGCAAAGCAATAAACCTTGGGTGCCGTTATGGTAGATCAGCGGTTCCCAACCTCAGGTCACGACCCAAATGAAAGTTGCAGGGGGCAATGCCGGTGGCGCCACACACAAAGGATGAGCCGCGCCGCATGCCAGGAGTTCCTCCGCCCCTGTGCTGCCACACTCCGCTCCCAGCAGCGGGTCGCAGCAAAAAAAAAGGTTGGGAACCACTGCTGTAGATATTCAAAGCATTACATAAAACATAAATTGGGCTATTGCTGGAAAGAGCAAGTTATCTTGTTTTCTTAGTCTGACTCTTTTTATTTAATAAGCTGCCTATTTATATAAAGGTATATTGTAAAAAAAAGAAATCCAAAAAAAAACTGTACATCTGTCATCCAAGACAGTCACTACATTTTGAGTAATAGCACAAAGTATTGCAAGATCAAGTTCTTAAGGGATAAATACAATCATTTTATTAGGTGTATTTACTACTGTACCATAAACAGAAAAACGTGTTTTAGTATCTAACACTACAATGCAGTCCAAAACAGTCCTGGAAGTTAGTCACTTTAGCAGACTAGTGCCCCAAATTGACACTAGTATACAAGATTTTAACTAGTAAGATTTTTTAAAGACAACCAGTAGTAGAATGCTACTGGAAATGATACAAGGAAAACCAACTGTTTTTGAACCAGCAATCTTAGTTCTATTTAAAAATCACTGACTATTAAATTTAAATCTTACTTACAGCATGACTTTCCAGTTCAGCTATTTTTTCAGGTGTTTCAGAGCCAAAAAAGTACATTCTGATAACATGATCAGTACTGCCTGTTGCTAAGAACATGCCACCTGAAAATTCAAAACAGTGGTTTAAAAAAGCTGGCAAATATTTTCATTTGTTAAAAATAGCAAGATACATTTCTAGAATGCAGTAGATAAGAAACTTGTCACAATTGTTGGTCACCTGCTACTGTACAAATGTGGGATAAATATTTTATCCACTCCCCCATATATACACTCTTTGAAGCTTAATATGAAAAAGAAAAAAATAATCAGTTTTACTATCTGAAAGATTAAAGAGAGTGCTAAATACTTAGAATTTTTAGAACAAGTTGGCCACCAACCTTGCCTACTATTTTAGAGAGGATAAAATCATCTCCATAGTCCAGAAGAGAGTTACAGAGACTATTCCTCTCAGGAAATAACTAAACATAATGTCAAGAAAAAAAGTATTTTAAAGCTGAAGCTAGGTACAGACATTACGCTTTTACTGGTACAAGTGATTGGAAACTGGTCTTATCGCCTTACCATAAGTTCAGCACACAAAACCAGTCTATACCTATAACAGAAGAGAAGTTCGGCATACAGACTGGTTTAAAAATGGCAGAACCCTATCTAAGATTTGCCTCCCCATGCCCCACCCCACTAAAGGAGGAATGTGTGTTTTGTTTGCTACCAATCTAAACTATATCGCTTACAGAAAACCGTTCAACTTAGATAGATTTCATCTCAGGCTTTTTGAATGCCTGAATCTAGCCCAAACAAATAATAAAAAAACAAAACAAAAAAAAGTTTAGTGATAGCACATTTTTCATCCCACTGCTTCCATTTCCAAAGGATTTACCCATCACGGAAAACTGAAAAGCATACTGTAAAAAAACCCCACAAGACCTTAGATCACAGATGGCCAACTTGCACCACAGGTGTCACAGGTTGCTTCTGCATGTGGCATATGGCAGACCACGGAGGGACAGGCAACTCAGTGACAAATAGCATAGGGAGCAGAAAGCAGAGCAGCAGATGGGGCAGAGAAAGGGGATGAGAGCAACACTTAAAGCGCAGAGCTAATCTGTGGCATGCCTGCAAAAAAGGCTGGCTGCCACTCCACTATGTCATATGAATGTATGGCTCCTAATCATGTTGTACATTAGATATCCCAAAGGTGAATGATGCCCCTTTCTCAAACAGTAATCATTTTTAAAGCTGTGTAGTAAAACAGTTTCAGAGAAATACTAATCTGAAGCCAGACAGGGCGCAATCTGTTTATCTGTACCAAGTACCTGATCAGTTTCACACTACATATACTCATAACAGACCAGAATGCGCGCACACAGCTCTGAAAAGTCAGTTCAGGCACTACCCAGAGCTGTCACTAATAGCCACCTCTCTCATTATGCCTCTCAGTGTCCAACTGTCTTTAAATACTGAAGGGCTCTCCTCCTTCTGGCTGACCGACCCCCTTTCCAGCTGGCACCCACAAGTAGCTTATTCCCCTGTCAGCAGGATCAGGAAGAAAACAGGACAGACACTGGCCATATACAGGCACTGCATTTCTACCAGAATTGCTGTGCTCTCAGGAGAAACTTGGAGCATACAAATGTTTGTTTGATTTCTCCCAGAGGAAATCCATCTCCTCCAGGAGAAAGATTTTCCAGGTTGACACTAAAAGATTTCACACAAGGGAGGTTCTCTCACTAGAACAAATGCCTATATGCTTTACTCCTCCTGATCACTGAGAAGTTAAGCAGCAGCTTTCTCTGTGCCTTGTATAGAGTGGGGGACTCAAGTCTGGGGAAGATGGGGGCATTTCCCCACAGTTCAAGTCCTGATTATGGAAGAGTTGAGCTGCCGCTGCTCTCTGAGCTTTCCCAAAAATCAGAAGAATGGTATTGGCAGCACTGTCCCACTGCTCCTGTCCCTCCCACACACCAGGAAGAGGGGAGAAAGAGCCATCTACTGCTTCCTGCCCCTCTCCTAGACTAGTGTGCACCTTGGTCTGATGAATAGGTAGCAGGCATTGCTCTGCTGCTACCTCTCCTCCCTCCAGGCCAAGGAAAGATACAGGGAGTCTTCCCCCACCATTCCACTCCCCCTTTCTAGTCCCTGGGAATGAGAGGAGTAGAGCAAACACTGATCACCACACCCCCAGAATGTGATTCACATCAGCCAGGGGAAGGTCTGGGGAGCAAGAGAGGGGAAAGCTGCAGATGGAACATCTGTACTGCTCCTTCTCCCAGAAAGATTTTTAATGGGAAGAAATCCTCACACCCTGATCTTACTGCTCTCCCTTCTACTCCCTGTCCTGTGCTCCCTTCCAGATCTCAGAAATTTCCACCACTAGAGATGAACATCTGTTCATACCCATTGTAACACCTTGTATTAACCATGTATTGCTGATGCAATTCACCACAAATATATGGCTGAACATATTTACTGTAAAAGACTAGTGTACTTCTCTAGATTAGAAATGTCAATTTGGGGCACATAAGTACTATTCTATGCTTTATTTAGAATTATATGCTCCTTGCTCCATTGGGAAGGCAGATGATGCTTTCAGCATGAGAGAAGTGACTGCAAGGCTCAGTTGTGATATCTTGGCTTAATTCAAAAGTGCATTCTTTCCAAGATTCTGTCACTCGGAAGATAAGATTTTGTAGAAAAAGTAAGAGAAAATCCTATGGATCGCTGCATTGGATTCTGGAGTATTACAAGGGTAGCAAAGTTGCTGTTTATTTAAACTATCTGTAAGTTAAGAGAAAAATATCCAAACGACAAACTTCAACAAGCACACAACTTACCCACACTGAATGAAGAACAAAGCATCTGAACTCCAGGTCTAGGTTTCTCTGTGAACTTTACTGGCCGACTGCTTTAAAAAGAAAGTAAGTCTTACTTGACACAAATCAGAACTTAGCATGAAAAGCTTAAGAACTTTAAATATAAGTTTTAAAAAACACGTAAACACATATACATTCAAGTATTTATCACGATGTATGCTAGCAATTTACAGCAAGTTCTTTGTTTCCATGCAAGCACATCATCATTATGCATGATTCTTTTAAATATCTAACCATTTATGGTTTTATACACAAAATCCTGAACAAGTGAGTATAAGAGGACACCCCACACTTCTTCAAGAAGATGGACTGGCGCACTCCACTAAGTACTATGCTGCTGTGTTACACTACAACAATCCACTGGCACCTGGAGATAGGCCACAGTAAAGCTCCATGAAGTTATGGGGTGAAATCAACTGAGTTTTTAAAATGTATATTATTTTTGCTTAAGAAGTTTGGTCTGTTCAATAAAGGATGCAAATTCACCCAAAAAGCATGTACTAGAATCTCTCATGGGGCAGACACTAGTGCAAGCAACCTGAGAAAGAAAAAAAAGCTAATATTTCAAAGAAGTCAGCAATGTCTATTCTCTGTTACTTAAGGAAAAACTCCATAAACCTAACACACTTGTAAGTGTCCTTGTTTACCATCCTGACGGCTCCTCAAACAAGTGCTGTTTAACAACAAACAAATAAGCGCTCTTCAGGAGAAAGTATATTACCTATATATAAAGGGTCTTTTTTTTTAAACTATCAGCTATACAAACTCAACTTGGGACCAACCCAAAAATTAAACTTGGAATTCAACAGAAAAATTTTCTTTGACCAAAACTGGGCCACCAAACACCTCTGCAATTCCACAAATATGACTTAAATAAATAATAACTACAACCCTTTTTTGCAGATGTATTACAATATATGTTTAATGTGGAAACTTCCAGATGTCAGTATCTGCATTATTTTGAATATTACATGGAATACTATTAGGTTTATACTATCACAGATTCTTATTCAGCACTAGGAATAGCACTGACAGAAAAAAAAAAAAAGAATGTCAAAACTTAACATTATATGATCATTTCCTGAAGGCTTTTAAACTTTTACTGTATATTACACACAAGTTTCAGATGAATACAAACTATCCCCAAAACAACAGGGTTTTATAACTCAAAAAGTGAACACAAGTTAATATTATTCTGTTTATACCAATACCACTATTATACTAATTACAACACAAATTTTGAGCCATTTTCTGTCCCATACGCATTTTTGCTGAAGTAAGAGAATACTTATTTATTCTTTAGAACAATTAACTGTTGTTTTGTAAAAAATGTAGTTTGTAATGGCACTTTAAAACATTCTGTGTGCTAGTTTGTGCCATGCATTAGGTTTTCCTATGTGTAAATAACTGTGTACATGTGCGACCAAACTTTGCGCACATTCTCTCTCATTGGACAAGCCAGTTTGCAGCTCCCTCACCTCCCTCCAGACATCTGCCACAGTTTATCAGAAGACAGAGTATTTGAAAAGAGTCTGTAACTCAGTTACGTACTTGAATTTCATGGAATCCATATCCCATTGCCAAAAGCAAACTGTTCCATCTGCACCAGTAGAGACCATGTATCGCACAGAGCCTTTGGCCATTGGACTAAACTAAAATTAAAGCCATACACAAATGTTAATTTGCAAGCTTTTACATTTTAGATGAATTTCCTCAATTTAAAATCATTTTGCAGTAAGAAAAAAAAATGTGAACTTGTAAAAGGTTAAGCTTAAAACTTTAATTCTAAACTCCTGAATTACAGAAATAGCTGCAATTAATTTTTGACAAAAGACAAAAGCTATAGATCTTGAAATAACAGGTTTGAATCAAAATATTTTTAATATTAGGTTTGCCTATGCTTCTGTCATAACTACATTTTGAAGAACAAGTGCATGATGTTTTTCTGCTTAAAAGAAATCATCTGAACTAACCATGTCTGTTCACTGAAAGCTTTTCAGAGAACTGATTTAAATGGAAAACAAAATGTACTAGAAGCAGCAGAAGGCAGTTTTCACTAGACACACACCTGCTAAAACTTCTTTTTTCTAAGTAGGTCACACACTAGTATTTAAACTAGTACTATCTAACCATAAGAAGATATGTGTTCTATATGTGCAAGTTTTCAGGTTAGTATCTCTTTTCTTTAAAGATACTGAGCAAGTATTATGTAGGTGGCTACTTCTTTAAGAACTAACTACACAGGACATATAATGGTTACCACTTTCTTGAACTCTTCTCCCAACACAAAAGCCCCTAATTCAACACTGCAAAAGCAGCACCAACATCAAGTTCTCCTACAGTCAACAAGAAAAGTTCAGTACAACTGCAGTTACAGTCACTCAGCAAATCCACTAGCTTACTCATACTCTGTACATTAACCGTTATAAGTAAATACTTTGGTAAAGAATGATTTGCAAGCACCATAAAGACACTAGGAGTAAAGAGGAAACTCAACAGCAGAGATCCTGAAAACAGAATGCAAATCAAGAGAATTTTTTTTTTTTTAAAGCCAAAGAGGGTGTGGCAAGTAGCCAATCTACCACTCCCCAGCCCTATAAAAGAAACCTACTAGCACTGGTGTAAAATAAAGTGATTCTTCTGCTTAGTAACAAACTGATGGATTTGCTGAAGGTGGAGTTACAAGGTTTAAACAAGGCAGAATTTGAAATATAAGATCTTCCTGTGCATTTTTACTTGCCAAACAAAATACATTGGCTCTTGTGCCAAGAAAAAACTGAGTTTTTGAAATACTATTGCAAATACAAAAAACTTTTCTTTAAGAAACAGTGAGATTAAATTTCAATTTTAAAACTGTTTTAGAAAACTTTATAGTGATAGAGAATATAAAAACTGTTGCTCTTAAAACCAAAGCAGCAGTTCTTTGAAAAGCCTAATAAACCATAAAATACTCACAACATCCTTATATAGGAGAAATGGGAGAAAAACTCATTAGTCTACTCCCATTGTTAAAGCAAAGAGGAAGGCAATGCTTAACAAGTGACAAGAAGTAACTCAAGTAATAATTAACAAGGTGGGTAAAGAAATGTTGCTCCATCCCCCTCAAAAGGAACTTCATTGTTTTGTATTTTTGATATTAACATAGCTGTTCTGAAATGATAGTGTCATTCACTGTCTTTATGGATTGTCTTCAGGTGCTCTTTCAAGTGAGGCCAAAACTGTTCTACCATTGATTTTAATGGGAGCCAGAATTGCTCAGCATGTCAAAAATTAAGTCAACTTTCATTATAACCCTACCTATAAATTTAGGCACTTAAAAATTTGGTACTCAAGTCTGAGAATTCTGACTTCTGCAAATACGCCAATAGCATTCAAATTTGTTGTAACAAGTTAGTAATGCTAAAGCTAAAGAGTTTGAACAAACTTGTAAGATTAAAGTGACAGGTAAATGTGTGACCTTTCAACCTAACACACAATTCCCTGGACCAGGAAAAGTTCACTAAAGTTTTATTTGATGAGTAAATTACTTCAATAATTGAAAAGTAATGCAAAATCTAAGTAAAAGTGATCAGTGTCCAAATACTAAAAGTATTAATTAAATCTACTTCTTCAAAGGTATTAAAAGTGCTACCGGCTCTAGGTTTAAAGTATAATTCTCTCAGATTTGGTTCTCCAACTAGATAGTAGAAGTACTTTACCATGAAGTATCTAGGTAGTACTACTGCATCCTATCATCACTCTAAGTACTACAGCTAAATGAAAGTCTCCTTTGCTTTGTGCAGTTTGACACAAATGGTTTTTTACCCAAATTCTCATATTTTAATTAGCCTAGAATCTTCAAATATTTTTAAATTGAGTTTTGCAATTTCTGATAGCCTCATAAGGCTGACTGGGTGCTACTCCTTACACCAAGCTAGCTGGCTGAAGCATTCAAACATGTTTTTTGCAATCTGCTATGTTGGAATGCTTAACTGAGAAAAAGATCAGACACTCCTCCATGTCAGAAAATCTTACAATATACTTATACAATATACACTGCAAAACATTTTCTTAAAACACAAACCATCAGCCAAAATCATGGATAGTTACATTGCCAGTTAACAAGCTGGAGATCACAGAATAATGGAAAGTTAGGGTTGGAAGGTACCTCAGGAGGTCATCTAGTCCAACCCCCTACTCAAAGCAGGACCATCCCCAACTAGATCATCCCAGCCAAAGCTTTGTCTAGCCAGGCCTTAAAAACCTCCAAGGATGGAGCTCCCACCACCTCTCTATGTAACCTGTTCCAATGCCTCACCACCCTCCTAGTGAGAAAGATTTTTCTAATATCTGCCCTAAACCTCCCTTGCTGCAACTCAAGACCTTTGCTCCTTGTACTAGCATCTGCTACCACTCCAAACAGTCTCGCTCCATCTTCACTGAAATCAAACTTCAAGTAGTTGAAGGATGCTATCAAATTGCCTCTTGGTGTTATCTTCTAAACTAAATAAACCCAGTTCCCTCAACCTCTCCCCATAAGTTGTATGCCCCAGCCCCCGAACCATTTTCAAATGTCCTCTGCTGAACTCTCTCCAACTTGTCCACATCTTTCCGCAGCGGAGAGCCCAAAACTAAACAGTACTTCAGATGTGGCCACACCAGTGCAGAATACAGCAGAATAATTACAGTACTTCCTTCGATCTGATAGCAATGCTGCAGAAATGCAGCCCAGCATGCTGTTATCCTTCTTCACAACAAGGGCACGCAGTTGACTCATATCCAGGTTATTGTCTACTGTAACCCCTAGGACCTTTTCTACAGAGTTGCTACTTACTTAGCCAGTTGGTCCCAAGCCTGTCCTGGTGCATGGGATTCTTCTGCCTTAAGTGCAGGACTTTGCATTTGTCATTGCTGAACCTCACAAGTTTTCTTTTGGCCTAATCCTTCCATTTGTCTAGGTCACACTGAATCCTAGCCCTATCCTCCAGCATGTCTACTACTCCCCACAGCTTGGTGTCATCTGTAAACTTGCTGAGGTTGTAATCCATCCTATTTTCCAGATTGTTAACGAAGATATTTAACAAAACCAGCCCCAAGACCAACCCCTGGGGCACTCCACTTGATACTAGCTGCCAATTAGACTCGAGCCACTGATCGTTACCCATTGAGTAGAATGGTCCAGCCAGCTTTCCATCCAGCTTACATACGGTCCATTCATTCAACTCGGACGTTCTTCCTTAGCTTGCTTGTAAGAATGCTGTGGGAGACTATATCAAAAGCCTTGCTAAAGTCGATATATCATGTCCACTGCTTTCCTCACAACCACAGAGTCAACTGTCTCATCATAGAAGGCAATCAGGTTGGTCAGACATGACTTGCCCTTGGTGAATCCAAGCTGACTGTTCCCGATCAATTTCTCCAAGTGCTTAGAAATGGATTCCTTGAGCACCTGCTCCATGCTTTTTTCTGAGGCCTGAAGTGAGGCTGACTGGTCTGTAGTTCCCTGGATCCTCCTTCTTCCCTTTCTTAAAGATGGGCACTATAACAACCCTTTTCCAACTATCCAGGACCTCTCCCAAAAGCTACAAAATGTTCAAAGATAATGGCCAGCAGCTCTGCAATTCCATCAACCAACTCCCTCAGAACCCCTGGATGCATTACATCTGGCCCCACAGCTTTTACATGTCTAGCTTTTCTAAATAGTTCTTAACCTATTCTTTCACTACTGAGGGCTGAATGGAATATACTCCTCCACCTCTGCTGCTAGCACTCCATAGCTGTTTTCCAGGTTAGCACTTGATCTCTCTTCTCCAGGCAAACTGCTGCAGGTGGGGATCACTACTTCCCTTTTGCTCCCAGAGGTCACAAGCTTCCACTTTCCTGGGAGTCCATGCCCTCTTTCTTTTCTAGAACTGCCTATGGCAGCCCTTCTTCCACAGTCCTAGAAGTTTCTTCCAGCTGGAATCAATGACATCCTCATGGCAGAGGATGCTTCAGAGCTTTGCTACCTCCTCCTGTAGCTCTCTTGCCTTCTCCCTGAGGGACACCACCAGAAGGCATTGCTCACCACAGGCACTCCCTCACTTGGCTGACACTGGAAGGAACCTGCAAACTGCAGTCTACACAGCACCAAACCAGGACCTGGTTGGAAGCCTCAAAGGCAGCAGTCCTGCCTAGACAGACATCTTACAGATGCAAACAGAAGAAAAGCTGGAAGTGGCTGTGGGATTTCAGTGTCCTTCAGCCACCTCTGGAGAAGTTTAATTTAGGGGTGCACCAATAGGGATTTTTGAGGCCGATATTGATAGCTGATATTTAAGGAGGCATATCGGCCAATACTGATCCGATATACTGCCTGCAGCAGGTAAGTCTGATGTGGTAGGAGAAGGGGCATAGGAGGGGGAAGGGAGGGGACATGGGGGGTGCAGATCAAGGCCCACTGTGAGGGAGGGAGACAGGGACAACCATTGCCCAGGTCAGGGAGGGCAGACCGGGGACGAAGCTGCAGCATGTCTGGGGGGCATGGTGGGAGATGGAAGTGGCTCCCGCCACCACATGCGGCTGGTCTGCCAGCTCCCACTGTCACTCATCTGGGAGGGCACATGCCCCCAGATCTAGGCCAGGCTGGAGCCGGGGCTGTTTCCCACAGAGCCTGGGCCACCCAGGCGGGGCATGGGGCAGGTGGTGGTGCTGCTGGAAGCAGAGGGCTATGAGGGGGTTACAGCAAATGTTGGGGTGGTTGCAGCCCAGCCTGTAGCCCCTTCCCAGGAGCGTCATCCCCCAGCCCAGGCTCCACCAGAAACTGCCCTGGCCCCAGATGGCCCCATGCAGACCCGGGGCTTGTTCCCAGAGAAGCCTGGGCCGGGCAGAGAGTGGAGCTGCTAGGATGGGGCTACAGGGGGGCTGCGGCCACCCCAAAATTCACTGTAGCCCCCCCCACAGCACCATGACCCAACCCAGGAAGAAAACAGCTCCAGGCCCAGCCCACCCCCTGCAGATCCAGGGGCACATGCCCCCACCGTGCCCTCCCAGATAAGTGACAGCAGCTGGTAGATACCGCCTTGCGACAAGCCCTGCTCCATTCCACAACCCTGAATGAGTTGAGGCTTTGTCCCCCACCCACCTGCTAGGGCAGCACTTGCCCCTCCCTCCCTCACAACAGGGCCCTGATCTGCCCCCCTGCACCTCTTCCCTCTCCCCCAAATTACCAGCTGGAGGCAGCTCTCCATGCTATGGGCTGTGTCTTCATTGCCTACATGCTGCACTGCAGCTGCACACAGCATGGGCATTTATTGGCCCAATTATCAGGCACTTAAAGAAAATGATCTATATTGGTTATTGGCCTTATCTCAGTACTGATCTGATGTATTGGTGCACCTCTAATTTAATTAGAAGTGTCAGATGTATGTTAGATAAATGAGAGAAGAAAAAAAGTCATCTGACTCCCAGATTTTCTTTACCATATTAGAAAAATGCACAGTAAAATTTGGTGCTTTTATTCATATCTGACAAAGACACTCATTTTATCTAAAACCATGAATTCTTGAAGAGCAAAATAAAGTTATTGCCAAGTCAGAATGTTTCCTTCTATTTACCCTGAAGATTGCCAACATGTTTTTATAAACTACTTAATTTATAGTTTATGCCATCAGTGTAGTATTCATACTTACTTTAACATTTGTGAACTACTAGATGCTGGCAACAGAACTGTTACAAGAGAAAGAAGAACACCCATTACTAGACACATACCTGTAAAGATGTAATGGACCCTGTGTGTCCCTGTAGAACAGCCACTGGTGCACAAGTTCTCAGACACCACACCCTGATCATTTTATCACAACTTCCAGCTGCAATCATAGTGTTTTCATAGTTAACAGCCATATCAGAAATCTCTGCTGAATGGCCTCGTAGAGTGGCAAGTAACCGGCCATTGTGTGTTGACCATATCTTCACCAAGCAGTCATCCGAGCCCTAAAGAGAAAGCGTGACCAAGTCTGGTATAAATTCAAATGTCTAAAATACTGTGTTTCCTTTTGCTAAGAAGTAACCAAGCTCTTTCAAAAGTCTGGTAGTCCAGATTTTCTTCTGTTAAACACTGTTTGTGGAATCAGCATTTGGTCATGTTAAGTGGAAAATTATATAAAATGTGTAAACATGGTTTTGATGCATCTATAGCTTACAGAATCTTGTATTAGACAATCAAAATATAACCAAAAAAAAAGGGGAAAACATATTTGAGAGGCCAGAAAAATGTGTGACGTTCTCATTTAACTTCCTTTATCACCACCAATTCCCCAAAACCACCAAATCCCCAAAGCCACAGCAACTAGGTAGAACCTGTTTCCATAGCAACAGACTTACCCTCAATCATTTTATTAAGAAACATGCAAATCCAAAGACAACCATATAAATGAAAGATATCAGTACCTAATTATTAATAACGCTCAGAGTACAAAAATTCCAGCTCCAAAATTATGCCTAAATTTATTTAAATTTTGTGAAAGAGCAAATTAGCTGCATGTTTAAACTCAGCAGTCTTAACATTTCAGAGATAAATACTAAGCATATAAAGTGTTCTTTTCCCTGCATTAATTCCAGAAGCTCTGCATTAAAAGCATCAACTCACAGTAAATATTCTGTGTCCAGTCCTATCAAATGCAACACAGTAAACTGCAGAGAGATGGCCTAGAATCCGCCTGTGTATCTTTATGTGCTGATACATACTTCCTGGAAATGAAGTATTAAACTTTGCATATCCAGTCACTTGTTTTGCACGATGCACTTCCACTAGAAGAGAAACACCATGGACAGATTAACAGGGCAAAGCAGAACAATGAAATTTTACTCTGAAAAACCAAGTTAAAAAATTATTTGTAGGAGGCATAGATAATTATAAAAACAGATCTCATGCAGAGAGCCAATCTTACTTTTACAGTCAGTAGATTACTGGATTTAAGGAAGTGACACTCTGGCTTGTACAAACAATTTCCTAAGTGTTCCTGAGCTTGTTGAGCTTTTTCTGAGTAGTATTATTTAGAAGTGGGACAAGTTTTAATTTTGTTCCAATTTAAAAAAAACCCAAACAGTACAAATAAAGATAGTATCGTCTATCTCGTATTTTATGTACTTTCATAAAATTAAAAGTGTGCTGCCACAGACCACTGATTTGCAGACACCATAAGCACATTTCTTTTAGTATTGTTTATTTTTTATAGGCAAAAAAGTCTTAATGTAGAAACTAACATCTTACTCATATAATGAATTCTACATAGGCAGACTTCTGTGCTCATGAGACTTCACTGAAGTAACCTGAAAGTTCTACAAGAAAACTCCCAAAGCTAACTCTTAAATGCAGTTTCCATACTTATACTGTACATTACTGCAAAAGACACCACAGTCAATTCACCTACTTACCAAGGTTTGGAGGAGTCCCATAGTTCACAGGCATTTCAGGAGGTCTTCCTCTATGTAAAGCCGCAAAGGCAGAGCCCTTCCACACAGTATTTCTGCAATCTTTAAAATAAAATATCAGTTGTACATGAAAGCAGAGTAGAACTGCACTTTGGAAAAGCCAAACATGCCATTGTTTTGAAATCCTTTATAAAATTTAGCAACAATAATTATGAGTTTGTCAAAGGGTGTAAAGCCTACAGTATTAAAATATAATAGGAAATAAGAATTGAAAAAATCTAGAATCTCAAAGAGATAACACTGCAAGCTTTGCATTAAGTTTGAGAATACATTTAAACAACTATCACTATAGTTTGTACAAACATATCCATTCTACCTTTACTTTACCTGAAAATATTGGAAAAGTATAAAGTTGTATAGGTTTGTTTTCTGCCTAAGGATTTTTTTAAAGCATTGTGAAACTCTTCACAAACAGACAAGTGTTAGCACAGGAAAAGGAGCAGCTTTATTATGAAAAGCTACTTCACATGCCTCATGCTGAAACTGCTGAAAGTTTGAGTTCCAATTAATGGAGATTCATTACTTTCTTTATTGTGTAACTTGTCCAGTTCATAATATAGAATGTCTTTTCAATGTTGCTTAAAAATTAAGATGGTATGCACACACAGGAAAGTTCTATTTAAAGAATATGAAGCTCTTGCCAACTGATGTAAGGCTGGTACTCTGTAGCATCAACCATACACAATTAGAGTCAAAACCAAAGCCTTTGCACTCATTACAAAAAATGAACAGAATGATACTGCTTGACTAGTTCTGGCCTGGTTGGTATGAAGAACCAGAGGAACAACAAGAAGGTAGTGTTATAGTATTTTACTTTGATTGAACCCAATCTGCTCTCTCATTCAAAAAGCAAACTAATCAATACCACATTGTTTATCTTGTGAACTCTGAGAAAAGTAAAAATGGGGCTGGCATTTAGATACAGAATGCCTTAATCCACGACAAGGTCCCAGAATAACTACAGAAGCTTGTACAAGGAAGGTGGTGTTGCAGGTTGCTGACATTCAGCGATTCATCATTTGCATCCATGAGAATATTTCAGATGCAACTCAGGATTTTATTCACGTAGTGACCCATAAGACTAATCGCCAACATGGCCAGCTCAACTCAAACACCTACATTGTAGTAGGGATGAAGTGGGTGATGGTCCAGGAAGTGTATGGATTTTTTTGTCGCACCTTTTGCTGGACCCATTGTATGTAGCTGGGAGAACCACTGGACAAGTTTTGGGCATCAAGTTTCCTTCCTCAGATTAAAGTTGGTAAAATAAAAGCTGTCAATAAACCCTTGCTTCTAATGCATCTAGTCATTCTTTTGATCTGGTCTGAGGGAGGAGTTGGAAGCCAAAGACTGAAATTTTATCCACACCACACTGATCATCATTACCTGCTACAGCAGATGCATGACAAACAGAACCAAGGAGGCGATACTTCCCCTCTATCGGGCGCTGGTCAGACTGCAGTTGGAATACTGCACGCAGTTTTGGGCGCCACACTTCAAGAGGGATGTGGATAACTTGGAGAGGGTCCAGAGAAGAGCCACTCATATGATTAAGGGCTTGCAGGCCAAGCCCCACGAGGAGAGACTAAGACACCTGGACCTCTTCAGCCTCTGCAAGAGAAGGTTGAGAGGCAACCCTGTGGCTGCCTATAAATTCATCGTGGGGGCACAGAAGGGAATTGGTGAGGCTCTACTCACCAAGGTGCCCCTGTGGGTCACAAGAAATAATGGCCATAAGCTAGCAGAGATCAGATTTAGACTGGACATTAGGAGGAACTTCTTCACAGTTAGAGTGGCCAAGGTCTGGAATGGGCTCCCAACGGAAGTGGTGCTCTCCCCTACCCTGGGGGTCTTCAAGCAGAAGTTGGCTGGGGTCATCTGAACCCAGCACTCTTTCCTGTCTATGCAGGGGGTCAGACTCAATGATCTATTGAGGTCCCTTCCGACCCTAACATCTATGAACTCAAAGTTACACTGCACAACTACTAGGGCCTCTTCTGATAAGTTTATGAAGGTTAATGGAATGAGAACATTTCCAAAAAACTCCAAGAGAAGCTACTGTTTCAAATAAGGTTATTCCTATAAGAAATTGCTTGAACTTTATAATTTTTTTCCATCTACTAGCAAAAATGGCTCTCTCACCAACTTATTCTTAGAGCTCAATTGTTTATACAGGCCCTCCAACAACAGACATGGAAGAAAGATACCTAGATTATCGATGACAGAAGCATCATAGCATGCTAACAAACTGCAAAAGCTTTTTATGCAAGAACATTGTATTCTGAGCACTAGGAAAGTTTTTCCTGCCTTGCCCATAAATCCACACTGTATCAGTAGATGTGTTCCAGGCCTCAGAAACCTTGGTCAGGGCAAGCTGTCCTTACTGTATGGCTGATCTGAGTCCCTTCTGCCAAAGAAGTTATCTTCTGGAGAAACAGAGACAAAGTCTCAACTGAACTCTCTGTTCTGAAGACGCATCCCAACCTGGAAGTTAGAAACATGAAGTCTTTTCTGCTAGAGTTTAGGCCAGGGTCACTCAAACCACTAAAGGCAACAGGAATACAGCGCCACAGGTTAGGCTTCGTGTTCCTGTCCTTCCCAGTTTGTGAAGACTAACGCAAAAAAGTAGGGCTACTGTACATGGAGACTTTCCTACAGGGAAACCAAGTTGTTAGATTCTAATAAAAATAACCATTAGTCAACATTTAAACATTTATCACCTAACACCAGCAGACTACCCTTCCATCCCTGGAGGTAGAGATACACTCTAAATCTGCTCAGAAGTTGAATCAGCAAGCACATTTCTTAAAGTAAGTGCCTTGCATACCTCAATACAGATTCTGAAATAACAAAAGCATGGATCACATGTACAAAGTTTATCAATGAACAAAATGGCCATGACACTAGCCAAGTGTAGGTGAGAAAAGCTGTAGCAATCACTGATGTGACTGAGAACAGGTAAACACACCCCTAAAATTCAAGTGCTTGTAAAAAATGACATGAACATACCCTGTGTAAAGACACAGATACAATCCACTGAGTTTCAGCAAACTGTACCCTCTTTCAGTCGGGAACTAGGAAAGGAATTTGAAAACGTAGGATGAACAGTGACCAATAAAAATTTGCACTGCCTGCCTACTGTGTTGTATGTCATGTTAAACTCTTATGTTTTGACTTGTAAAAACTTAAAGGAATTCTCTTGAATAGCCATTTCTCAGACATATTTCTAAAGATGAACTCAAAAAGTAGCATTCCTTGTCCAAATAAAAGGAAACTCCTAAAAAGATAATTCTTTAATCAGGGGACTTGAATATTTAAAATTCACCCTCCCAACTCAATCTGAAATAGCACCACAACATACCAGTCTTCACAGGTGCAAAAGGGTTCTGAGAAAGGAGCAGTGGGTTAAAGGCAAATTATCTGCATCCTGAGAGAAGGCACTCAGATTTTTAAAAACATATTGCACAAATATAAGTATTTAGCCAAACCATACCTTTCGCCGTACGTAACAATGACTGCCTCCCTGCCCCAAGCAGGGAATTCACTCTCGAAATGCTGGGTGGAATCTCTTTATCCAGTATAGGGCCAATACGCTTGCAAATTTGTAACAAATGATCTGGAGCCACATGTTTGTTGGATAAGACCTGACAGAAAGTTAAGTTTAAAACAAATACACAGCATATGTAGAAAAGATGATTGCACAACTTCAGTTTGTAGTTTTAAAATAAAGTACCTCAAATTTTGAACAGATTTTATTAAGCAATGTCTTTACACACTAAATTCCTAGAGTAATGAACTCCCCACTAAATGCCATAGTAAAGAAGAAACCAACATCTCACCACAACAAAATCAGGTGTATTCATGTGTCTTGGCATACCATTATCTAGTCAATATTTTCGTTGCAGAAAATAATTTCCCCAAAGAGTTGCTTTTAATCCGGGTGAAAGTGGTAGCACTATTTGCTTCCTATGCATACATGTGTTAGTGGTTTAGTTCTATATGATGCAATCATGTTCCATGGTCATTCTCTTGATCCAATTTAAGCAACATCACACCAAAAAAAAAGCTACTGCATCTGCACCTGGTCCTTTGGTCCATTACGTATCACAGAAAATTATACTGCACTCAAGAGTAAGAAGAATGTATAATAGTAGCTCTGTTAAACAAGCACTGCACAAACTGAAAAACTATTGCATCTTGACCGGCTTAGAGTGATCTATACAGCTTCTCTCAAGAGACCACTAGATTCTTCAAAGAACCAATGAAAGGTCACACCAATCCTATTCCCCCTGAACTCAAACAGCAAAAACCTTGCACTGACACAACACAGTCCCTTTGTTTGTGACATTTAGCATGAAGGATTCTCAGAGGCTGTTAAATCAGAACACAATATGCATGTACATCACATCTCTCAACCAAAAGTTCACGTGCATTTTACTCTTTGTATTCTCTCCAAACATTAATTGCAAAACTATGGCACTTATGATGCAGCAAAGACAAGTATTTGCATAACAGTCAGGTATTCAAGCCTGAGTGCCTGTGTAACCAAGTTCACTGGCCAGTCTAAACTTGGTCCCCTGAATAGATTTAAAAAAAAATAAAAATAAAAACCTCAATTATGGAGTGAACTTATCAGCCAGAATAACTGAAATAATGGCAATACCCACATATACACTGATATATACTTAATAGGTACAAAAGGACTGAATTATACCTACTGAAAACAAAACCCTGAGCTTGACTTTTATATTTAAAAAGGACAAAGCCAACTTAAATTATGCCCAAAATTAAAGTACTCCTAGAAATATTTTTAAAAAGTTTAATACAGTATTTTTCCTGTACTTTAAAAATAACTTCTAGTAAAATAGAAACATCCTATACAATGTTTAAAACCAGAAGACAGAAACACTAAAAACCTGCAAATGTGAGACACTTGCATCACGCTGAAAATTATGTTTGCGTATCATCTTGGTTAATAAAAATCAAGTATAATCAGAACACAACTAGAACAATTAACTTCATTTAAAAAAATTCTTTCATTTACCATAATTTAAAAGATTTGTGACAAATGAATAGAAGTCATTTTTTTAAAAATCCACTGTTGTAAACATTCAACTTAAACCATAACACATTTGCAATTTTTCCAACCCTAATGTACAACTAAGCATACCTGAACATGTTAGCATAACCAGCCAAACCATGCCAGACTACTAACTACTACTCAGCAGACTCAGTATAATGAGCCTTTTCACCACTGCTTGAAGAACTATTGTGCATGCCTTCGGAAGGGATGGAAAGACATTTGAGAAGTCACTCAGATGAGAAAACTGTTATTCAGAAAAGGGACATCCTCATATAATCTTAAATACCAAATACAAGTCTTGCGAAAAGAAATTCACTGAATGTGAGTTCGTTTTCATTTTACTGTTAAACTCTTTAGCTCAGCTTCCATAAGAAATACTAAGCAGCAAAACATCTACATAGCTCATTGGAAGACAAGGCCTTAAATATTTGCCTGCAATCTATGCAACTAACTACCTTGCTAACACAAACGCTGCACCCAAAGAGCAGAAGTAAAAACTTAAATATAAAATTTTCATATCCCGAAATATTACTGCCATAAATACGGCTTTTTTGAAATGGCTGAAGACAAGGAACATAAATACATATGACAACTCAGAGCCTACATCCCATGCACATGCAGACACATGAAGAATGTCTAAAGAGACTAAACAAGGAATCTGCCAGAATCGTCACATTTACAAAAACAGATCTATTTTTTTCTTTAAATTGGATTCTTTAAATTTCTTTAAATCTCAGCTAAGCTCAGATCAAATCTTGAAGTTAGCGCTGCTAAGGTGGATTGGACTTCTGACATTAATATAACATTTGCTCAGTTGAAAGGAATTGTCTAATGAAACACACGTGTCTCCAAACAGTTCTGAGATCCCATTACAAGCAACACTGCATTTAACTGAAAAAAGTAAGGGGCCTCTTCTTTCTTCAGGGTTTTGTTTTATGCCTGTTGTACCAAACCTTTTATAAAGGTGCATCCCTACCCTTCTGACCAACTTCAGGCTACCTCGCCTTCATCAAGGAGTCACCCCCTCTGCACTCCACATAGCTTGAAAAAGGATACTATGTTATCTGAAAGCTGGCTAGAAACATCACCCCACCTCCAAGTTGGTTTAATAAAAGATATCTGTGGACTCTTTCTTATCTATTACATCTCCCTCGTCAAGCCCTTTTTCTGCATGCAAGCCATAAATGCAGCAAATCAAAGGGGAAGCACAAGAAATGCTTATGTACGCAGGGTGGGTGTTAAATAAGAGTGGAAAGAAAAACCCACAAGCAGGCACCGAGCTGTGAAATCTTCCTCGCTTGACAAGGAAGAGCAATAAACTACAGTTGCTTTCATGTTGCTGCCCTGTGCAACTGCACCCAAAGCCACCCTCCAGCCAGCTACAACAGCAAGTCCTGATAAGGAGGAGGAACTAGGTCTCCCTTGCCAAACAATCACCCCTAACAAGCAGGCTCTCTTCCCAGCTACAAGGCTCTCCTCCTCCCCCCAAATAAAAGGTGCTGGGGAGATGCCCCGGCTAAACCCTGCCAGGTCAACAGAGCACCAACCTCCCGGCTCCACCCCCAGCCGCAGATGGAAGCCAAGTGGACAATAAACCCCGCCCAATCCAAGCGGCAGCACAGAGCAAGGGAACCCCATGGGACTGCAACAAGCCAGCTGCCAATTGGTTCTGCCAGGAGCCCCGCTTTAAATAAACACCCCGCTTGCCCCCCACCCTCCATGTACCCTCCAGCCCACTCACCAAGTCCTCATAGCTGCGGCTGTGCTCGCGGCCTTCCCAATCCAGCCTCTTGGGCAGCAGCTGTGCGGGGCAGAGAGACGGGGCAGCGTGAGCCGGGGGCACAGCACAACCGCAGCCCTTACAAGGGTAGGGGTTGAGGGGGGGGGTTGCTCACGCACCTGGTGCTGTTCCAGCTCCTGCACCAGCACCTGCGGGATGGGACACACACGGAGATCAAGGCAGGGCAGCGCCAGCCCCCCCCC